AATTGAAGATTGATTAACATCTGGCAAAACCTACCTGATAATGAAAGATCCAACAAAAAGGGCAGCACCAGATAACTACAGGCCAATTACCTGCTTACCAACAACTTTCAGATTGCTAACTGGTGTTATAGCTGATGCAGTCCAACAGCATCTAGTTAAAAACAAGCTGTTTCCTGTGATGGATTGGGATGAGAAGGTTCAAGGACAGAAGCATCTCCTCAGCCCACAGCTTGAGCATGGGAAAGTGAAGAGGATGAGACTGGAACCACCCTAAGGAATTCGTAGTGTTTAGTTGCTGGCTTAGAATGTTTAGAGTTAGTCTGGCAAGATTCTGTCTAGCAGGTGTGAGCTAATACAGTAACTGAGCTGTTCCAGTACTGTCTCGTGGAGTTTCTTGGGCTTAAGCTGACATCTCCATCTGAGCAGAAAGGAAACTGCCCAAACAGCAGAGGGACAAAAGATCAGCTCTTAATTGACAATATGATTTTGGAAAACTGCAAGTGAAGGAAGACCAACTTCAGTATAGCTTGGATTGATTACAATAAGGCATTCAACTTCCTGCCACATGACTGGATAATCAAGTACCTAGAAATTACATGAGCCAGTAGAAACATCAGAAGGTTTGTGCAAAGATCAATGGCACAGTGGAAGACACAGTTGCTGGTCAATGGCAATAGACTGGGAGAGGTTAACATCAAGAGAGGAATCTTTCAAGGAACAGTGGAAGACACAGTTGCTGGTCAATGGCAATAGACTGGGAGAGGTTAACATCAAGAGAGGAATCTTTCAAGGAGTGTCACTATCACCACTACCATTTATCATTGCATTGCTTCCTCTGTCAACAATACTGAACAAGTCAAGCCATGGCTATCAAACATCAACAATATCTGCCAGGTTATCCCACCTCCTTTACATGGACGATCTGAAGCTGTATGGAAAAACACCATCTGAAATAGAATCATTGCTCAACACTGTCAGAATATAACAGCCAAGATATAGCAATGGAGTTTGGCCTGGACAAATGTGCCACCCTTACCATCAACTGGGGAAAAATAGTGAAAACTGGAGGAATCAAGATGCCCTATGGAAATAACATCAAGAGCCTGGATGAAGAAGATCTCTACAAATACCTGGGCATCCTTCAAAATGACAGAATCAAGCACACTGAAGTCAAGAAGAAGGTTAGTAGTGAATACATCAGAAGAATGAAGAACTTAAAGTCCAAACTCAGTGGTGGAAATACCATTAAGGCAATTAACACCTGGGCAATTCCAGTCATTAGATAGACAGCTGGAATGGTGGACTGGACTTAAGCTGAACTAAAAGCCCTGGATAGGAAGACCAGAAAAATAAGGACAATGAAGCCTGCCCTTCATCCAAGCAGCGACATTGACAGACTCTACTTACATAGCATAGGTGGGCATGGAATGTTACAAGTACACTAGACAGTTGAAGAAGAAAAAAGGA